AATTTATTATTCACTTATGTGAATGTTGGCCCAAGTCTTGCAGCTAAAATACCAAATGTAAATAAAGATGTGTCATACAGTCATGGGTCGTAACAACAGCATTTTTCTCCGTGACACTGATAAAGAAGAAATACTGAGTATTGTAAAAAATCTTGCAGATAAAAGATCAAAAGTCTGGATGGACATGGACATGATATTTGTAAAGGATATAATGAGTTATGTTATTGAACCATTTACACACACACACACACACACACACACACACACACACACACACACACATATATATATATGTAGATGAACATATGCATGATATATATTCATAAATTAAACGGATTCTTTCATTTTTCTGGACTGTATAATGTACGTGCATTGAATTTAATAAAATGTGGACGGAAGCGTGTTTATCTTTGACTCACCAACGACAGTGGGTCATTTATTTAAAACGATTTAAACACAGCACACATTTACATTAATTTGCAAATTGATTTCAACAACAACATGGTTAATTTAGCAAGTTTTACAAGGAAGACCATACGGCGATGGTTGAAAACCTTGCTTCCAGCTTCACAGACATTTCTGAAAAATATCTGGAATGATTTGCTAGCAGGATAGAAGAATTTTAAAGATGGGAAATGAAGTTTATCTTGAGAGAGATGGGTGAGGGAATTTGTCTGTTTTAACCAGAACAGCACGCTCCTTTGGACCAGCTTAACCCAACGATACACTTTGGTTGAAGATCGACTTTTTACCTTTCTGAAGATATGTCAGTTCCGGCGTAAAGTTCCACCTCAAGCCACTTTTCAGCGTCTCCGTAAGAACAGCTAAACCTCGGGAGTCGTGAGATCATCCAGAACAGACATTTCATAATTCCCTGATCTTCTCTCGTTCAGCTTAATTTTTCTTCCTCCAGCATCCTGAATTCCAGCCTTCTGAACTCTGGAACTGCTGTGAACTAGGAAGTGCTGCACCTTTTAAAAAAGGTCACTTCCGGTTCATTTGGGAGTTTCTGATTGGTCGATGGACCAAAACAGAGGTGTGTTTTGTGATGTAAGGTGTTATGAAAAGTCAAGGAAAAAGATTAAGATTGTTTAAGAACAGACAGAAGATATTATGAAGAACTCAGACTTCGTGGAGTCAATTCTCTAGTATCTTGCTGTAAAAGTTAAACATGACATTTCTTTTTCAGTAAACTTGCAGTTGACCGAAACTTGAACTTTGACCAACTTACACACTTGCTCATTTCAAACAGACAATCAAGAAATTGAATCATTACTCTGTAACATATTCCAACTTGATTTCCACTTTGAATGAGGATTAAAAATCGTTATTACTGTTTCACAGTTGATTTAAAAATGAGTAGTTCACTTCAACATTTAAACATTGTTTGAACTAACACAATTTGATTATCAAACATTTGTAAAATAGTAATGATAATCGAAAGTAGTGTTCTTTCACTTGATTAATTCAAGAAAGAAAGTCTCAGGATGGGTCAACCTGTATTTCTGGATTCAAATCAATGAAATGACAGTTTCTGTCCCATAAGATCCTTAAGGTCAGGATTTGACCTCAGGCCTAGTTCACTACACATGCACCCCCATGGCATCGCCCCGGGCCCCCCC